AAAAAAAGTTAGGATTGTATTTATTTCGGTTGTTAAGAAATGTGGTAGAGATGTAACAATTGTTTCTCAAGAAGTAATAAAATGGATGGTAGGATTCTTTTTTATTGTGAATCTTACAGAGTGAAATCGCACTCTGTCATATTAATAACTGTTATGCAGAATCCTTTTTCTTAATGGTGGCAAATTGCGAATTTCCCCTTTTCTATTTTTAAAAAATGAGTTCTTAATTTTTTCATTAATCAGCCTTTTGTGAAATTCCTATCAAAATGATCCTACACTGTCACAAAGACCTGGCAGTGGACGTCTTAGGGCAGCAGCTGACGTTTAGGCACATCTGCTGGCGGTTGCAGTTAAAAAAAAAGTATAACGATTGTTAACATTTCTTTATTTTATTGCAACCAGTAGCGCACACAGGAATTTTCAAGGGGGTCCGGGGTCGAAAGTTCACCATTCTTGTATCATGCTCCTTTTGATTTTGTCGATTTTCGGAAACAAAAACAGTAAAAACTAATTATAGAATAAATAATTAGCATTAATTACTAAAATTAATCATTAATAACAAATAATTAGTTAAATTTTACGTACTATATACTTAGAATTATAATCAATCTGAAAAAAATCAAGGGCCTCAGGGGTCCGACCCCCAGGAGCCCCCCCTTGTGTGCGCCACTCTGATTGCAACCATAAGCATCATAAACACTATCATATACTACTACATAAACTTACATACACTTAGAAGCATTCTAATTGTGATGTCTGATAAATAAGATAAACTTCGCAACTATATTTCATCACATAATTATAGCGCCGCCCATCCGGTATAGTGGTTAGTGACCCTGACTGCGGTGCTGTAGAGCCTGGGTTCGAATCACGGAGAAGGCATGGATGTTTGCAAATGTATGGTACCTGTGTGGCATAGGGGTACTCTAAATAGCCTTCGAGCCACAAATCCTCTCTTGAGGTTGATGGAAGGGGAAGAGAGGTGATCATCCCCAGGGTGTTCTCCCTCAAAATTGGGGTGGAACCAAGCCAAATCGTGCTGTCACCTGCATGGTGCTCAAAGCTAAGGCTAACGACAGGCTTACTCCTGGCCGCGATGAGTTTCGTGGGCCTTGATCTGATGTTACTGTCGATCAGGCGGCATAAGTAACAGCAACACATAACTATAGCGAACGGTTATAACTTGATTCATTTCAAATTAATCAGAATTCAAAATGCAAGAGCAGGGTTCAAAATTTTCTGGATGATTCTGCTTGTAATAAAACAAATAATCTGGAATTTAATTATCTTACTTTTATAAAATGTATCATTTTCACAGCATCATTTAAAACGTTTCTTAATACATTCTTTATTGATTCTACTACCGTAATTCCACATAAGATGCTTTGATTATATTTTATTTTTTCTCTTTCTCTACTCTTTTGAATGCTTATTAGAATCGAAAATGGGAAATTGGTTCTCATGAGCAAACAACATACTATTCCAATAAAATATTAGCTGCTTTATAGGGTAATCTATTCCTTGGTCTCACATAAAATTACTTCTCGCAGAATGGCCTTTTGAACTAACTGATCTGAGTACTTGTCCAGTACTTTCGGACAAAATTAAGGAGGAAAACTATTGATTGAACTTTATAGAAATTTTTACAGAGGTCAAACGTAGATTCTTCACATTTCTTTTCACTATAAATCTCTTCTTTTTTTGAATTAGCTTTATCCGATGGACACTTAACCAGTTCAAAACTATCAAATTATTTGAAAAAGTCAAAAATGAAGAAATTTTTACTGGGATTAATAATATGTCTGTTTTCAGAAACATTTAAGCTGCTTTTAAAACTGAAGGGAAAAAATGTTCATTAAAAATTTACAACATACATTTCTTAAAGATAATATTTTGGCGAGATGTATATTTATTATATAAATATAAGAAAATTAATACTTAATTGGTGAATTATTATTTGAAAGTGGATTTATATATAAAATTTTTTAAAAAAATGGAAAATTAAAAGAAACACTAAGATATTTTAATCAAATGAGGTTAAAGCAGTGTGAATCGTTACACTTTATTTACTGAAAGATAATGAGCATATTTTTTATTGATAAAATAAGCACAAAATACTAATTAGGTAATTCATTCGCAAACGACATCCGAAGACAAAGTAAAAAAATTAAAAATTGTTGGTTCAATAAAAACTTTAGCTCCTTAAGCGAAAACGGTGGGAGAAGGCAGAGTAATGCTATGTGGACACAATATAAAAACGTCAGCTTCCTAAATAAAGGCTGTGTCTGTAGTGAGTTTGAATTTGTTTGTGTGTGTGTTGTATTTTAGTTATTTCCAGACAGTTTAAAATGAATAGACAGTTTTTGATTCATCTAAGTAGTGATATATTTTTTTTTTATTTCATCAACATATATAGTTTTAAGTAAAAGTGGTTGAGCTATTGAAGGCTATATATGCTGTTAACTTTCCTTATCCAATTAAAGAGAGAAGAAATATTAAAGGGATCCGACTTTTAGAACGTGATTTTAGAAAGCGAAATGAATTTCATATATTTAGTGTCACTGAGATTAGAGCATGTATTTAAAATTGTTTGGACATTTTGACAAAAAATTTTTTAAACATAATATTTTGGCAAAATTAACTTAGAATAATTTTTTTTCAAAATGTTCTCCTTTTGTGAAAAATACTTCTATTATAATAATATTTGGCATGTATATAGCTCAGACCTCTGTACAGAGGCTCAACTATAATTTTTGAAAAATTCACATTATTTTCAGAGTTACAACCCATTGAAATATAATTGTCGGCATTTTTTTCTTAACATTGCTCCCCTCTGTTGTCGTAAAATATGGATAAACCCACTTCTAAGTTATATATTTCAACAATTCTCTCTCTAGTTGAGCCTCTGTAGAGAGGTCTGAGCTATATACACAGGCAAAATATTATTATAATAGAAGGATTTTTCTCAAAAGGAGAACATTTGAAAAAAAAATTATTCTAAGTTAATTTTTTGCCAAGATATTGCATTTAAATAATTTTTTTTGTCAAAATGTCCTTAAAACAATTGTATATATGTATTCTAATCTAAGTGACACTAAATATCATGAAAATTATCCATTTATGCGCTTTTCAAAATAAGTTCCGAACGTAGTCGGGTACCTTAAAATTCGTACAATCAAATGTTATTTTTATATCTTCAATCTTTTAAAATTTCCAGGACATACTCGAAATAGTAATATACCAAAATTTAGACTCCATTTTTGAGATGTATATTTTTAATAGAGCTTAAATTTTTTTATATGCCTATAATAAGGATACTTTAGTTACTCTCCTAAATTACAGAAATAACATTTTTTTTAGCTCAAAAGTTTATTCTTTTTCAATTCCTACTATTAGTACGCAATCTCCCTATATATTCAATACTGTTCGAATTAAATGAGACAAAAGAAAGAAAAGAAAACGATTTTTTCTAAAACCTTAGCTTTTGATCGTAATGTATCTAAAGCAGACTGAAAAATCTCTATATTAGTCCGAAGTATGTCCTCTTTTAGCAGAAATGACATCTTCAACACGTCTTGGCATTGACTCCACTAGTGTAGTACGCAAGTTCTTGATAACATCATCGTGGAACCACGGTTGCAATGGAACTTTTAATCATTTGTTCCGTTGTCATGAAATGCATCTTGGCTGAAAGATTCTTGAGAATATACCATTAGTTCTCAATAGTATTTAAGTCTGGTGAATTACTAGACCAATAAAGTACTTTTATTTTATTTTCATGCCTAAAAGTCTGGACTAATCTCGAATTGTGACAATGGGCCACGTTTTTTTGAAATGTTCCATCAAATGTTTTTAAGGAATGGAAATATTCTGATGCTTAATATTTCAATGTATTTTTCAGAAAGTCTTTAAGAGGAATTAAGTTTCCAGTACCATTCATTGTAAAAAACCGACAAAACTTCTGTTTAGAAGGGTATTTTATAGTCTGTTTGATATGATCTGGTTGCAGTGTCACGTTACTTCGATTAACTACACTTGATTTTTATCCCTGCATAAACAAATGTGTTTCATCACTGAAAATCCCCTTCTTCAGTCGTTAACAGTTCATGACCGTTATTTTTTTGCCCTTACTGAACGTCCCCCCCCCCCTTTTTTTTCATTTTTTGAGTTAGAAATTGTTTTTTCCTCGGTATCGCTGCCCCACCACCAACTCCCAGAAGCCTTTTCCATACAGTTGAGGTATTCACTTCAACACCATAAACCAATAAATCCTTTCGAAGGTTTGTGCTCGTCTTTCTTGGATTTATTTTGCTATTTCTTATTAAAATTTTATCAGTACTTGGAGTAATATTCCGTTTTTGTCCGATTATCCTTTTCTTCTTGGAGACGATGATCCGGAATCTTGAAATGTTCCTAAAATTCTTGAAACACTTGATTTGCCCACACCAACTACCCTAGCTATATCTCTCACAGTGTAGAATTCTTTAAGAGAAATTATTTTAGAATGCTTCCTCGGAATAATATCCATCTTTGAACAAGCAAAAGTGACACGTGTTACACGCAACGCATAATAACCACAAGCCTTCACACTGAAAGGTTCACAACTAAACTAATAGTACACTAAAACCAAATTAACAATAAATTACACTTAAGGTTGATCCGTCACACTACCTCTAGGCCTAAATAACCAGTTTGAGGCGGTTCGGAACATCAATGGTAATCACATACCACCTCAGACATGAAAAACATGTGTTTGTCCCAATTAATTCGAACAGTATAGTATATATCTTGTTCAAAATTTCAATCGTTTATAAAATACTTTCATTCATTCATTCATTCAAGTTCAAACACGTTTTTTTAAACTTGTATTGGATGACACTTGATGTGTTAATATTTTATAAAAATTTTAATTCATTAGTTAAATTTAATTAATGAATAAATAGTAAAAAAACAAAAATAATAGTGCGGCACCACATATAAAAAGGTAAATAGCTCATTGTGTCCCTGTTGCGCAACGGATGGTGCGTTGGACTTCTAATCCAAAGGCCGTGGGTTCGAATGCTACCTGAGATGGTCTAATTTCTGAGAATGATTAATCAATGAATAAATAGTAACCAACCAAAATTGTCCAACACCATATATAGAAAGAAAAGTGGAAAATTGCAAGGAAAATCGCTTTTACTTAATCCATTTAATATTGGGATTCTGTCTTATGTATATTGTAATTTTTTTTAAAAAAGTAACTAAAATAAAAAAAAATTTCTATGTTAACCTAGTATTAATTGACTTTCACATGTAAAATTATTTTTAAAATATTGGGTACATTTAGAAAGAAAATATTTTGGTTCATTATAAGCACAAGCATCTTTTACAGAAGTGTGACAAATTTTGAAAGCATATAGTGGAATTCAATTGCGTACATTCAGTAGAGGCCGAAATTGAGGACACTTTTTCAAATTGTTATGTTTTTTAGGTTTATGTGCGTATAGAAAATTTTACGTTGCACAAAATGCAGAGTATTTTATACCATTTTAAAGAGAATTTGATACTGAATTGAATACAAAAAAGAATATTTAAATATTTGCAACACAAAAAAGGTTATGTTGAAATAACTGTCGATATATACTGATGATAGCAGAGTTATCAGAGCTTAGTGAAGTTGCTTTTATTCTTTATTACAGCTTCCCATTGATGTTCCATTGAGCTAAAAATAGTTTTAAGCTATTCCTTCGTTATTACATAATGCCAGGAAACAGTTATATCTTCAATTAGTTCATTTTTATTTCATGGGTACCTCATTCGGACAAGAGTTTTCAAAGGGTGCCACAAGTTTTCTATAGGATCGAGGTCAGGACTGTTTCCTGGCCAGGATAACCATATTTAGTCAAAAAGCAATGACATCAAATAAAAGAGTAGATTGGACACATGTCTGACGAGAAAGGGGTATTTCCTTTGGTAAAATTACATAACAGGTGGGTAGTTCAATGTCTAACATCTGGAGAATGAACGTTTTGTTTAAGATGTCATGAGACAAATTTCATGAAAAACAAAGCAGGAAAAGGGCGAAAACGGTGCACCACACCTGTTGATGACAGAAAAACAAAAATACTATGTTTCAGAGATAAAAGAAATTCATTGACATCCATCAGAGGTGGTCTGAGTGATGCTGGTGTTTCTGTCAGTTCAAGAACAATCAGGAGTAGATTTGCAGATGTGAGACTAAAAGGTAGAATTCCACGAGAAAAGCCGTATCTCAATTTACAGCAGAGCTGAAAGGGACTACAGTGGGAATGGAAAACATCAATTGGAGTAATGTTTATTGGTCACAAGTTATATAGAGGGACAAAACTAAAATATCGTTACTCGGTAGTGATAGCCTAAAATATGTAGCACGTAGAATAGCAGAAATGCTACATCCTGACTGTTTCCAGGCAACTGTGAAGTATCCATATACCTTTATTATTTAGTCATACATATCAGCAAATGGTATCGGTCGCCTTCATATCATCGATGGGACACTGAATGTCATATAATACATTGACACCATGCTAGAACCCAAACTTCTACCTTCCATCAGGAATCTATTTAACAATGCTTCACTTATTTTTCAGCAAGATTCTGCTCCTTTCCACACAATAAAGTAATTGAAAGACTGGTACCGTTCTAAGATCACTGAGTAGTTGTCCTGGCCCGGAAACAGTTCTGACCTCTATCCTATCGAAAACTTGTGGTACCGTTTGAAAACTCTTGTCCGAAGGAGGTACCCAATAAATAAAAAGGAGCTAATTGAGGATATAACTGTTTCCTGACATTATCTAATAACGAAGGAAGAGCTTACCACTATTTTCAGCTCAATGAAACATCGATGTGAAGCTGTAATAAAGAATAAAGGCAACCTCACTAATCTCTGATAACTCACTGCTATCATCAGTATCTAATGCATATCGACAGTTATTGCAGCATAACTTATTTTGCGTTGAAAAAAATGAAATATTCTTTTTTGTATTGAATTCAATATTAAATTCTCTTTAAAATGATATAAAATACTTAGCATTTTGTGCAACGTAAAATTTTCTATAAGTATGCAAACTTAAATACCATCTACACTAATAAAATTCGAAGGTAAAGGCATGCGACTAGGTGTATCTACGAGGGCTATTCAGAAAGTAAGGAACGTTTTGGAATTAAAAAGAAACTATTCAGAAAGTAAGGAACGTTTTGGAATTAAAAAGAAACTAAGTACAANAAAAAAATTTATTATATACATCAGAAAGAGCGACTAAAATTCTACTTTTCTACATAGTCATTAAACAAATTGAGGCACACTTATCATAGCGATGGACAAGCTTTGGAATTCCTTTGTCATAGAATTTTTCCGCCTGTGATCTCAGCCACTCAGTGTCTCGCACCCGCAGCTCCTTGTCGTCGTCAAAGCGCTGTGTTGCTAGTCAGTTCTTCATTCTTGGAAACAAGTGAAAATCACTAGGTGCAAGATCGGGACTATAGGACGGATGAGGGAAAACCTCCCATTTGAATGAATTAAGGAGTTCTTGAGTGGGGACAGTTTGCCGTGTGAGGTCGGGCATTGTCGTGCAAAAACAAAATTTTAGACGTCAACTTTCCTCTGCGATTGTTTTGAACTGCTCTCCTAAGGTTGCGCAAAGTTTGACAGTACCGCTCAAAGTTTATTGTGGCACCACATTCGAGAAAATCAATCAGAAGCACGCCTTGCCTATCCCAAAACACAGTCGCCATAATCTTCTTTGGTGACAAGATTTGCAAACATTTTCTTGGTTTTTTGGTGTGACCCCACTGCATGGACTGTAATTTTGTCTCGCAATTCACGTGTCTCACCCACGTCTCGTCACCAGTTACGATTCGATCCAGTAATGAATCACCAAGCCTGTCGTAGGCCTCCAGAAATGTCAAAGCTGCCCCCATTCGCTGACCTTTATGGTGGTCTGTATATAAGCAATTTCCGCACCTATCTTGCACAAAATTTGCTGTAGCCTAGCTTTTGTGTGACAATTTCAAACAACGAAGTCCGTGAAACTTGTGGAAAAACTAAGCGAAAGCTCCGTTATTGTGAAACGGCTTCTTTCTAGAATCTTTTCAACTTTAGCGACCAGTTCGTCAGTCACAATGCTAGGACGTTCACTCTTCTCTTCACCGTGAACGTTAGTTCGGCCATTTTTAAACTGAATGCACCATTTTCGGATTGAACTTTCATTCATTACGTTGTTTCCGTACACTTCACACACTTGCCGATAAATTTCCATAGGTTTTAGGTTTTTTGCCAACAAAAACCGTATCACAGACTGCAAGTCACAACTGGCGGGATTTTCAATTGCAGCTCACATTTTAAATTCGAATATCGAAAAAACGGGCTGCGTGGAAATGTTCCTGTTGAGATGGCTGGACGCCGACTGAGATGCCGAGCACTCAGACACCAAAATGTACGTGATCGGCGCGCGCCTAGCGACGTCAGACGGAAACGTTCCTTACTTTCTGAGTAGCCCTCGCGCACCGCACGACGCAGAAACTCGCCGAAGGTACCAAAAGTTCAGGAATGATCAGAGGAATCCGTTTAGACCATTTATATTCCGATATTGCAATTAGTTAAAGATATGAATTAAAAACCTTAAAACGCATAATTATTTTACTTTTTCCCGCCAGGCGGCAAAGTTCCAATTTCCCGACCTTTTTTTTTATATCCCAGACGTTTTTAAAACACGATCTAATTTTTTTTACGAGACTCAGACAAAAAATAATTACAGAATCGGAAAGATCATTTACTTCTCCACGATACGGTATAATTTATTTTACAAAATAATGATATTTTCATTTTTTACGACTTTTTCTAAAATGAGTCAAAATCGATGCGTTTTTATGTGAAAAATGATTTCTAAATCATTCCGTTTGCATTTTCTTTCACGTTAATGGAATGATATTCTACACTAAAAAAGTTCATGCTTTTCTCTTTTACAATCAGTCATTTAAAAAATGTCAAAAACTTTTTCAAAAAATACTCAAAATTTCATTTAAATACTTAATAATTTATTTATAAAATTAATCTCGCGAAACTTTTTTTTCGTGTGTAGAATGATATTATCCGTAATCTGTACAAAGATTGAAAAAATTACTTAAAAATTACAGTTTTTTTTTAAAAAAAAAATTGTGTTTTTCGTTTTCTTTTTTTGTAAGAAATATTTAAGCATTATTTTTGTTTAAAAATTACCGTTGTTTTCAATCGATATATGAAGTTTGAAGGCATTAACTTAAAAATTAAGCCCGGGAAAAAAAATTAAAACTTTAACAAATAACGCACATTTTACAATAGCCAAGGATTTGGCGGCGAAAACCTGTTTAGCGCCAAACGACTCTTTACCTCTGTCCGTCACGTTTGATGAAAGGTTACACCAGAAAAGAAAATGCGCCTATAAATATTGAAAATCGCCAAATTAAGAAATTGAATATCTCTTCCTTCTAGTTTTTAATAGTCTTTTATTTCTTTTTTCCGAAGATTTCATGGAGCGGTCGGTTAGAGCGCTGGATTACTAACTTTTGTACCCAGGTTCGAAACAACATCGTAGCTTAGTTTTTATAATTTTTTAAAAAAATACTCAAAATTTTATTAGCGCATTTAATAACTTCGCCAGCAATTTTGTAATTGGAAAGATAATTTATTTCGTCACGATACAGCAAGTTTTTTTTTATTTTATTAATTATTATTATTATTATTTTTTACAAAACAACGATTTTCTAAAGTGAATCAATATCGATGCGTTTATATGAAAATGATTTTTAAAAAACTCATACTTTGATCTCTTAAAGTTAGTGATTTAAAAAATAAAATGCCGAAAACTTTTTTACGAATTTTTAAAAAATACTCAAATTTTAAATATTTAATAACTACTTATCAAATTCAAATTTTTAATAACTTCTTCATTTATAAAAGTAATTGCATGAAATTTTTTTCCCGTGTATCGAACATTTAAAAAAAAATGCTCACAATTTTAATTCAACATTTAAATTAGTTGTGAAATTTTGTAATTATAAAAATTTCTACTTTT